GAAATACCCAGCCGCATACAACGGTATCCAACTGATATATTCAAAGCACTGGCCAGCTCTGTGGGACGTGATCCAACAGCAGCGCATTACAAATATTCCAATGTCCAATGTGGGCAAGCGAACATTTGCCATGGCTCGAGAAGCTGGACGAAAGGCGGCCCGATTTATTGGAGAAGAGCATCGTGAAGTGTTCCAGGTAAGTAAAAAAATCATATATTTTTAAAATGTTATAATTGAACTTATTTGTAGCACCAAGAAGCTCAACCACCCATCGATGAATTTGTATCCAAAATGGTGTATACAGAGGAAACTGAAGTAGATGCCGATATACTGCATCATTTAATTCGTCACTCGCAAGTAACAGATGCCCTTCTTGTATATAATTTGATTAATCAGAAGAGTGTTGAATGTTGTTAAATGCGCCATTAGAGGTTGTTAGCACTTTTGGAAACGTCAAGTTCGCTCGTAGCTCAGCACTAAAACTACTCGCGGAATTCAAACAACTAGGCGTTGAGCTTAGCTTGAGCTTGAGATTAATCATACATCATACGCTAATGTGTATTCTAATTAACGATCTTTGTCTGGGTCATCCATTACATTTTCCCATTGTATGCCATCATGCGGTAGATCACTTTGAATAAACGGCAATTGCAAGGTGTAAAGGGAAGAATACAAAGTATCAGTGGTTGTTATGGCCAATGCGTGATTCTGTAAAGCCACAGTGGTGATCTCTTTTGACAATGCAAGTATCACAAATGCTGCAATGCCAAGAACGTGGTGGAGCCAGCATTCCGCAATCCGAGCAGTAGCGCCAAATACAAATTCTATCTCATGAACATCATCAAAAAGCAGCCCATATCACGCAAGGAACGTGGCAGGAATCTGCTCCGCAAAAGCATAGCAAACCGCANCAAATACAAATTCTATCTCATGAACATCATCAAAAAGCAGCCCATATCACGCAAGGAACGTGGCAGGAATCTGCTCCGCAAAAGCATAGCAAACCGCAAGCAAACCGCTTCCTTAACAAATATTTATAAAATACGACGAGAATATATTCCGCTTTTCGTTAAATTGCGTTCACTTTTATTCAATAATCTTGTTTCAATGCTTTTGTTTGTTTATTTACATGTGATCAGCTGCTTTCTACCAAGGATAAATTCGCCTTAGACTACGGCGAATGTATAAATTCGCCTTGTTTTTGACATTAAGTAGTACTTTTACAAAAACAAAATACACGCACTTTTTGTTTTTGTTTTATCAACACCACCTTGTATAAATTCGCCTTGCGTGGTATTGTTGATCAACTTAATACTTTATTTACACATAACGGTTGCTCACAGTTCGAGTGTGTTATCTTGTCAAAGTTGCCACCTTTTAACTTTAGAAGTAAACTGTGAATACCCTAATTGTAATTTTTGTTAACGTTTAATATTATTATAAATATTTACATACACATATATGTATTTTTGATGGACGGTAAACTTTTACTTGGATATTGTGGCACACAAAATTTGAGTTTACATATTTACCAGAGACTGTTAAATACAGAGAAGCTGCAATAGGCCCGAAAATTTTATTTTGTAATAGAGCAGAAACGCTCTACATAGAAGTTCACCACCTTAAATTTTTAACATAGACTGCTTTAGAAGTCTACCACGTTTTAATAGCGTGAGCGCCGAATAAATTGAATAAATTAGCTATTGTGAAATGTTATTTCTTTTTATCTATCAAAAAAACGACTTTTGATTGTTATTTTAATGCCCCTTTCATTGCATTTAATCGAAAATCTTTTTTATTTATTACAAAAAAATTTCTGGATAAATTTTGGGAAAACATTATTTTCATAACAAATGCCGATGTCTAAAACAATTAATTAATTAAAATAAATTTAGGAAGATTTTGTAAACCATATTTTGGTCATCAATTAGTAAATTTTTTTTTTTTAGATATGTACACCTTTTCCCAGTGCCACCTGTTCCATTGATTTAATATGAAAAGTGGTTACATACGCTCACTCCATTATATCTGCGTACACCCTTGTTTTTTTTTTAATATTCACAAGGGTGACAGGTAATAAGGTCAATGGAAATAATGTCAGTTGACTTTATTTCCCACCCTGGTGCGAAATAAAGTCAATTGACATTATTACCTTTTCAAAAGCGAAATAAAGGCAACAAAAATTTGGAAATAAAGTCATTGACGCTATTTCCTCATTCAAATGGAAATAGCGTCAACAATGCTTAAAGTATGTCGATTCATAGAAAAAAATGTTGTTCTTACAATAAACATTGCCCCGTAAGTGTTGTTTTTTAATAGAAGAAAAAGGCTTTTGCCAAATCCTCAGTGTTGTGATATTAATCCACACACAATCATGAACTACCACCAAGTGATTCTATTCTAAACTAAACGCCTGCGCACAGCTGGAATATGAGAAATATTTGAAGAAAGAGTGGAGAAATGATCCATAACTTGCAAAACATTTTTCGT